CAGAGAAGAAGGAAGAAGAAAGAAGAAGAAAGATTAGCATTTGAGATTTGTTGGAAGGGTCCTAAAGTCGCCTTGAGTACTTTGAGAAGAAGGGTCAAAAGGAACTTCACCAGAGAAGTGGGCACCCGCGGGTCCATCGATACCCATATAAGGTAGGGTATGAGTCTAAAACATTGGACCCGTTTAGGACCCATACCCGTGAGACCCACACCAGTTTAGACCTGGACTGTACTCGACCCACCCGTCCGTTTTGGTAGGTCTAGTTGTGTGACCCCAAGGTTTGATCCATAAACTTAAGGTAGGAAGCAAACTTTTCTACCGTTAAACCAACCCCTTGAAATTAAAAAAAAAAAAAAAAATTGGTTTGTTTATATTTTTTATTTTATTATCAAAACCTTATAGGCTGTGTTTGGTAGAGTATTTAAAATTGTATTTTTGAAAAAATTGAGTTGAGTTACTATTACGAAAATAATATTTGAATTTGAAAATGTGTTCGATAAATTTTTGAAAATATTTAACGTCGTTGACGACCAGATCTAACCATCAAATCGTCAAATCTAAACCATCATGCGCTATTCTGATAAATTCCAGCACCTTTCGACGGTGGTGGTCGATTGTTGAGAATATGTGGGTGGGTGAAAGTGGTTTTCTTAATTTATAAAATTTGATTGTTGAGGGTGTTTAGTTAAATTAATAAATTTAGGGTTAAAAAATTCTAAATATTTTGAGATTAATAAAATAGGGTTTGACTTTTAAGAATATTGAAGGGAGGATTTTCAATAACGAAACAAACACATTTTTCGTGTGCGTTAAACAATTTCATTATTATAGATCTAAAGTTGTCTAGAATATCATCAAGCTCAATCCCATTGGTCTGTCGTTGTCATTCTCATGCCCTTTTTCTTCTGCCAAGTTGAACGATGAAGTCAATTCAATTGTCAGAGCAGCAGTTTTGGTGTACATGTCAATTATAAGATATATTAAATTATGAGTGGTGCTATATAAAAAAAAAAATTGGAATGATAAAGGCTCCGTTTGGTTCACAATTTTGTGTTTTTAGGAAAAGTTTTTGAAAAAAGTTAAAAAAAAAGTTGAATTGGGCGGGTATTACAATGTAGGATTTATAAATTGATAAAATACCCCCTATGTTTATTTTTTTACAAAACCCCCCTTATAATAAAACATTAAAAGTTAACAAAAACACCTCCAATACACCCTCAAATACGGACAGCCGGCCACCACCGCCGAGGGTGGCCGGAGTCGCCGTAACAAAAACATTAAAAATATTTAGGGGTATTTAATTGAATTAATAAATTTAGGGGGTTTAAAAAATATTGAATAAAGTTGAATAATATTGTGAGTTTTTGGGTATTTTACTGTTTAACTTTTTTGAGAATACTAAAAGTAGTATTTCCAAAATCCAACCAAACGAAGCCAAATTTATCCTTTAATAAAATAAAATTATTTTTGACTCCTTAAACCTTTTTTTTTTTTAGGAAAACAATTTACACAGTCAATATTATGAAAAAATAAGAAAGGAGTAATTATTACTTTAATGTTTCCAATAATTAAGATTAGACAATATGAATTAATTTATTGTAATAATTAAATTGCTTCAAAAAAAAATTATGTAAAGGTGGCCGTTTTATCTTCTAAAATTGCAAATATATGTTTTTTTTCTTGTGTCAGACCTTCATCACCCAAAGTTACAAGTGTAAGAACTATTTGCAACCCATTGATTTTCAATATATTTTCATATAAAGGCACATCCTTTTATCTCATTTTTGCCGACAAATAAATATGCTAGTTTTATCTCATTTTTGCCGATAAATAAATATGCTAGTTTATATTGTGATAAAATAGCAGTTGGATAAAAAATGTTTTATGTATATTGTTTGGAACGTTGCATGGATAAAAAAGATAAAGTTGGATAAAAAAAATGTTTTTGTATATTTATTAGAATGTTATGTGGATAAAATAGATAGAGCTGGATAAAAAATGTTTTATGTATATTTGATTTGATCATTATACGGATAAAAAAAGAGAAAATTGGATAAAAAAATGTTTTTGTATATTGATTAGAATGTTGTATGGATAAAATAGAGAGAGCTGTAATTTTTTTTTTTTTTTTGTATATCAATGTTTTATGTATATGTATTATGAATATTGATAACAAAGTATTTTTTCCTTAAATACCCTTAATCACCTTAAATCATGATTATATATATCTATATATACAATATTATGTGTATAAAGTCTTGTATAGAACGAGTATGCCATGTCATTATGAAAAAAAAGTAATTTTCTCTGTATTTTTTTAATAAAATTAGATTGTATTAATTTAAAAAATGAACAAAAATATTAATATATTTATTGATCTCTATTCAGAGAGTGTGACGCATCATTTTGCATAGATAATTGAAGGGTATCTAGGCAATGAATGGTGGGTTACGGGCTATGTGTTGCTCCACCATTGCATTATTCAGGTGTTCGTATATTTATTAATCTTTATTCAAAGAATGTTCATAGATTTTGTACAAAAGATTTTTTTATTTATGTATAGACAACTTAAAATTCGATTAAACCAACCATTGTAATCCAAATGTTTATATTTCGTTTGGTATGGTTTTGTTTATTAATAAGTGTTAGTTTTCCTGTTAGAAGAAAAACATTATTCATTGTTCGATTTGGAAGGGAACTATGGAATTTGGAGAGCTAAACGTGGTATTGGAAGCAATTTTCAACAATAGTGAAGATATTGTTTGAAATTGAATTTTTATCACAAATATCTTGATTATAATTAAACTTATAATTGTTGGCATGAGTCAAGTGTATGATAACTCTTATCATATAATTAAATTAAAATATTGGTAACAAATTAAATGTTTTGAAAATGTCTCATCAAAATTTGATTTTTAGACTAAAAGATGGAGAGAGAATTAAATGAAATTTGGAATCATTCTCTTTCTCACCATTAAATCATTTTTTTACTTTTTAACTCTCAAATATAAATAAGTCTTTTTATACATGGATTACCCTATTAAAAGTCAACTATATCACTATTTTATCCGGATCAATTGATCCAACAAGCATTTTTATTAAATTATTAACCTGAGATGAACAATATTAATTACCTCAAATGAAATATTATGGTTAGAAAATGCATGAACTAGGAAAGATATTGGATTTAGATTGAGTATGAAGTCCAAAGGTAGTGACCTAGCTTGGGTAATTGGGTTGGAAAGTAATACTACGCTGACAAACATCTCTCACAAACACTCAACGTGGTATTGAGTTGACTTTACACGTCAAATCACGAACTTTGACTAAACATGAACGACTATTACTTAAGGAGGAACGACCATTCATTCATAAGGAACTATCGTTCTATTCATAAAAAACGACAATTCCCGTAAGGAATGACTGTTCTATAAGATAAAACGGGATTCCATCTTATGGAATAGGTATTCCATATGGAACCCCCATTATATAAGAAGGAATAGGGATTCTATAAGCCCATTTAGAATGGCCGTTCCTCAACCAAGAACGATCATTTCTCATCAAAGGAACAGTCGATCTTATTTCATAATGGCCGTTTTTAGGTGTAATCGAAATCATTTTGCCACTGTTTTGGTGGGAGTTGCCAACTCAATGCCATGTGTACGGTTTGTGAGAGACATTTGTCAAGCTAGTATTATTGTTGGGTTGTTGGGTTGGGTTTATTTCCACTCAAAATGTCAACACAATTTCCAATCGAAATTCGAAACATCCAACTCATTTATTTTGTTTGTTTAACCGTAGCTTTCTCCTTTAAAGCTGGCGTCAAGGTTATTACTTATTAAACACAGCATACAGCAGCCATGTCATAACATTTTTTAAACCCATGAAGAGAAGGGTCAGGTCAATGAAACATTTCATTCATTTAAAAGGCATGCAGAATTTGGCGAGTGGTTGACTGTTGAAAGAGTAATTGACATTGAGATGTAAAGATTGGTTGAAGAACAAGAATTATATATACTTAAAAAAAAAAAAAAAAAAAAGAATTATCTAATATGAAAAATGAATGTATTATAAATTAAATATTAGGATGCAAAAACTAAAAATAACTATAATAATTTTATTTTTTTATGACCAGGAGTGTCTAGGGACTAGATTACCTCAATCAAACCCTAAAATTAACTATCAATCGAGTAAAAGTTTTAGGTGAATTGAATTCAAGACCTTATGAATAATATATCTAAAAGTTTTAGTTAACCAGTCGATCACCCAATGGTGGTTAACAACTATAATTTTATAGTTACTATACACACCCCTTTTGTTTTATATGCATACATTATCAAAATGTTTAAGAAAATATAATTTACCTTCTATAATTTTAAAACAAAGCTATATGTGAAATATGAAATTAGTTGATATATGACTACTTACTGAATATATATTGGTATTTACTATTTATTTTTATATATGAAAAACTTTATATTTAAATTATAAATGTTGGGCTGGACGTGGATTAGGAATGTTAAGAGGATTCTAGAATCTAGGGTTATAACTTTACCTTATAAATATGATAAATATTAAATAAAATAATAATTAGTAATATAAAATGTGAGAAGAGTATACCATGTGCTTTGCTTCTGCTTTTGAATATATAAATAGTTAATTAAACAACTTGATATAAAATTATTGGCATTGACGCAATTTGATCATGGCCACTCGTTTCGAACAATCCTCAAAACAAAGTCAAAGCACAAGTGGCATTTTCTTGCGGGGCCTGCCAATAATTTATCCGTAATCATGTCCCGCACGAACACCCTAACGTGATTCTCACATCAACCCACTGATTGCCAACATCTAACCTGTACAATCAAGCATCTCCACCCTTGACTAAATAATGAGAGGCTAAGATGGAGTCATATATCAAATATACAATGAGGTCGGATACACAGGAACAAAGCAAGGAGACGAATCAAGTGAGAAGAAACAAAGAGTTGTTTTGTCGGATACGAAGACCCAACCTGGATTCTCAAGGCAAGGTGTGTGCCACAGAACCCAAACGGCAGAAAGTTCTGGATCACAGAGAACGAATTCATCTTCATCTTGTTTTTACGTGTATAGTTACCACCCAAAAAGGAAATCTAAAAAATTGTGGGGAATCTTTTGATTTTGAGGTTCAGTATAGATTAGATGGATAAGTCTATTTGGTTTTAACGAAGCCACCAAATTGAAGAGAGAGCTTAGGGTTCAGAAACTTGGATTCTGAACTGGGTTTCTCTTGGAAATAAAAGAAAATATGGCGGAGCTTTGTTTGATGGCTTCTTATGGTTACCCGCCGGGGCTTGTTTATCATCAAGAACAGGGCATGAGCAGGGTCATCAAGGTAAATTTTAAGGGTTTGCCTATCTTGGTTTCTCAAAAATGTTGTGATGGTTTTGTTTTTAAATGAGTGTAAAATGGAGTGTGTGTTTTGTGTTTTTGTTGTAATTGGTTGCTGGACTTGATTGTTTATTGATTTTAATGGGTTTGACGGGTGCTCAAATACAGCGTTAGATGCTGTGAGAGGAATTAGTTTTAATTCTAGTTCAGCTATACTGAGTTAATATTCAGTGCTTCGGTTGACCGAATATACAATATAACCATCTCTGTTAACCAAGATGAATGCTGATTATAGATTAGGTTTCAGTCATACCGTCTCTCCTTCATATAAGTTGTTTTTTTATTAAGTTTTTTTATTTTTGTTGTTTTTTTTCTCTTAAATTATAACTTAGCTCTATGAGTGAATGTCTAAATTTCCAATTCAATGCTATTCACATCTGCTGGCCTCATTCATTGACTTCTTGTTTGCCCATATACCTTCTAATTATATCATATATTAGCCTTATCATGTAGTTTCTCTTTGATGGTGAATTACTCATAAATTGTTTATTTCACCATTGGGTACTATCATTTTACAGGATTGTGTTAGCCGAGTAGTATGCTTATCCAACCTATTGGTCTTGACAATATGGCTGAGGTCTGCATGGTAGATTCTTATTGTAAGTTTCGTCTGTTTGATAATTGATAACTTTTAATCTTTGATGATGCAGGATTGCCAACCTTACTTGCCATATCAAGGGGCTAGACAAGAGATAACAAGACCTGATTACCTTAATCTCAGGTCACATCAATCTGAGGAGCCGTGGAAGGCTATGAGTGGGTTCTGTGAGTCTAACCAGTTTGTCAAGATCGACTCGACAGTTAGAAGGCCTGGGCTCATTGACGTGCAAGGTTTGTAGCTCAAGAGTTTGTTGTTGAGAACTAGTTTCCCAGAGATCATCATCCCTCTTCCCGATTTCTGTAAATATTATTTGTGAGGAAACCGTGTAAAGCTTAATTAATTCTGTGTCTTTTTTATTCTCCCCTCAGAAATTGAAAATTGAAAATTTTCTTTTGGTGTAAATATATTCATAAATACTTAAATATGCCATTCAAAGTGATCTATTTTATATAATTTATGATTCCTTGCTTACTTGTTGCTGTTGTGGAAGTCATTTATTTACTTGCCTCCTTGTTTTTGTGCAGATTCTAGGCCAGACTTGGTACTCTTCAGCTCTGGCATAGCTGAGCAATGCACAAGACATGAGAAAATCATGCGGTTTCTTAAGTCCAGATCAAGTGAGGCTGAAGGAGGTGTTTTGGATTTGTCTTTACTCTCTGACTTGATGGGGCTTCAACCATTGACATTTGATTCACGTCAACAGCCGTCATCTCCTTCTCTCATTTACCCTACTAATGAATTATTAGAACAGAAGCCTCTCATGGACTTTGTGGGAGATATGGCCTGTAGTTCAAAAATCACCATTCATCCTGATGGTAGAATCTTGTTCACTGGTAGTGGGACTGAGATGAATGACTTCCTTTCCATTGTTGCTGAGTTTTACTTATCAAGAAATTCTACTAAATGGACGAAGCAGTCATTGCTGATTCCACATTTTGACAGGTATGGATATATAGTTCTGGTTGATTTTTCTATCATGCATGAATACATGTGAATTAATTATGGGCACCTACATTTTAGGATCTTCAACATTGTGAAAAATGTACCTGTACCAGTATATAATTGGCTGAGTAAGGTGGTAACCTAGTTTCCATCTTGCATTATAGTAACTGTAACACAGAATGTGCATGCTTTTTTAAACACATTTCCTTTATCACTTGTAATTTCAGTTACTATCCAATGATATTACTAAAACACCTGACCCTGTAATCATCCTTTTGAACAGGCTTGAGAGCAGTGAAGCTCAGGTTAATAAATCTGCTTTGAAGACTGAAGCTGTAACTGTTGCACCTTTGAAGAGGTATCAAATCACCTTTTGTTTCAGCAATGCATCATAATGCCTACCCTTATCTGTGACCTGTTTCCCAAAATAACATATATGATGACCGGAAATTGTTGAAATAAAAGGGCTATTAGAGATATTACTATCTTGTTATCTCTTATAATATGTCTTAAAATTCTTTTCAAACTACTTGCCTAAGCCTCCCCAACCCGTCCCATCCCAGACCTTTCATCTGCTTCTGTTTTTTTTCTACCTGTACCCCTTTTATATGATTACACTTATTTTTTTCTTTGGCTAATCCATTGCCGGTGGAATAGAGTTTGAGTAACTATTTGTTGCTTAGCAGGGCGCCAGGGCCAGAAGGCATATGGTAATTTGGTGAGTTTATAGGGAAAAATGATCTTAACATGAATTTTAGATTACAGATAGTCGCTCAAATTAGCATATGATAAATAAATTTGTGTCATATGAATCATGTTGTAGGCATGGAGTTCTGCCTCCTTCAGGAAACCTAGTCTGACCTTGTTTTTGTGTTATCTTTCTTGACAGTCCTGAGAAAATCAAAGTCAAGCCAAAGAAGAAGAACAGTAGAAAGATGGGTAAGGAGAGGGATCTTTATCGAAGGAGCTACTTCCATGCTTGTGAGAGCCTCCTATCCTTGATGATGAACAAAAGACAAAATGGAAAAACAGCTATCCTTTCACTAAAGAAATCAGGTCCTGAACTTCCTGAGCTCTTAACTCATTTTTCTGCTGGCATTGCTGGGACTGGCCTTGCTGTTCTTTTCTCTGTAATCTGCAAAGTAGCTTGTGGGAGGGTTCCGTTCTGCTCATCGAAAGTTTTAAATACTGGCCTTGCATTTGGGCTGGTTTGGCTCTCTTGGGCAGTAAATAGACTGAGGGACACTGTTATGTTGATTAGTAAGAACGGAAGCAAAATGGAATTGAAGGAGGAGGAGATAATGAGGAGAGTAGAGAAAAGCATAAATGAGATATACTTCAGAGCTGCAACTTTGATAGCAGTGATTCTGCTTAGGGTTGCATGAATAAATGTCAATGGAAATGATGAAGGTTTTGAAAGCATGGTGATGTGGTGGAAACTATTAGTGTAAATGTTGTAAGTTGAGTGATGATATTATTTGAGCTTTGCGTGATTCTGAAGCGGAGGTAGCGAAGTCATGTGATGAGTAGCTAAACAATTTTGATTTTGATTCCAGGCAATGGCTGTGTGAAGATGACTTCCTTTGTGTCTATGTTATTTGTATATTGATGTGAATTTTAATAGAGAATTTATGCATGCTTTTGAGTAGCAAGCAGGTGATTGCAGGAGAGCGGAATGGTGAATATATTGGAAGCGTTTGTCTGATTAACTTCTAATGAAGTGCTGAACGAAACGATGGAATAAGTTAGGGTTATAAAGGGGAGAAATTTATGGATTTTTTTGTTCAAGGAGAGCTGTTACTGTGTTGCATACTTGTTTGAATATAAGATTATCCTTAGCTAACTAATTTTATAGGAAAAGTAAGTAATTAATCTCTTAACAACTGCCAATGAATTAATATAAATCTTTATAAATTAGCAAAGAATTCCATATTAAACAGTCAAATCTGGAGATCTCAATGGGCTTTGCAATGAACAAGTCTTCCACTAGATATCTTACGCTTATTCTTTAATATACATGTATATATGTCAACTAGTAGGAGTAGAAGTCTCTAATCTTAATGTTACCCGTCTTCTTTCAACTTCTCAACTAGTAATACAGTACGTATAAATAAACCGTGATGTAACAACAACTAGAGAGTTGAGAAAGCTCACTGGGTTATGGCGAACAGGCCCAGTCATGGTCTCATCTTCTCATCATATCATATATTTCTTCTTTATCCATCTTGTTCACCATGCGGATTACATACTGTCTGATATGTCAATGAAAAATTAATATGATGTATTATTTATTACTCACATAAAATGACACACTGGAAAATTTCACACAAACTTACTGCTCTCTCCATTTTCCAACTTCAATTTATCACTTGCGTCCTATTTGCACAATTTTCACAGCATCAAAATCAAATACACCAATGAATATCAAATAACAAAATGTTAGTATCTACCATCACATTCAATAAAAATCACACTAACTTTAAGTAGTCAAAGGACAAAAGAAACTTCCCTTTTTTTTTTTTTTTGAATTCTTTTTACAAAATATATTAAATTCATAATTTAATTTTATAAAAAGTTCTCTCTTAATTCTAATTCAAAACAACGGATACCTTTTCAAACAAGTAAATTCACTCTTCAACAAAAATGGACATGCCTAAAAGGAAACATAACTATTCTTATTGTGCCGATCTCCATGCTAAGCACAAATGGTTAACTCCATCGGCATGTACAACGTCTAACATGAGTATTATTTCAATATCACAACATAAGTAATGTCTCAAATGGATTCAAAACCATGTGGAGTGGAGGCCAAGATTGAAAATTATGATACGCTTTCGCTTTGACTTTCTCAATTTCAAATCATTGAAAATCTAATAAACAATTCCTAGAAAATAGCATCAAATGTAAATATCCTCATGGTATTAAGCATGTGTTTCCATGAAAACAACCACATCAACTCAGCTCATAACTTTTGACACTACACCTGCACCAACCGTTCTGCCACCCTCTCTCAAGGCAAATCTTTGTCCTGTTTGTCAACAATAAACAATGTATCAAGTGTCATATTGGAGAATGATGCATATAAAAGGCAAAACAGTTTAGAATAAATGAAGAGCATAGATTGTAGTTCCTAAAGATAAAAAAATGAGAGCAGTTACAATACTTTCTTCCAAGGAAGATGAAGTTAAGTAGACACACCTGCTTCAAGAGGCACTGGCAATATCAACTCAAAAACTGCAGTCACATTGTCCCCAGGCATAACCATCTTAACATTTTCAGGTAATTCTACTTTTCCAGTTATATCCGCAGTCCTCAAATAAAACTGTGGCCTATAGTTTGAGAAAAAGGCAGTATGGCGTCCACCTTCATCCTTTGTGAGGACATATATCTCAGCCTCAAACTTCTTGTATGTCTTTACAGATCCTGGCTTGGCAATCACCTAAAAAACATGTATAAAAGGATAACGAAGCACATCCTTCTAAAGTACATATTTAACAATTAATGCAAAAGTTAATTTCAGTGCATCACATATTACAGATGATAATTTCCGACATCTGTCCCAAAATTAAGATTATTACATATTGTTCATGCATCAACAACAGTTGACAAAAAATATCAAAAGCAACATATTATTCACTTTATTATAAGCTGTGGCAATCAACCAGACTTACATAGGGTAATTCACTTTGACTAAAAATTAAACCACAGAGAGAATGATATACACATGTGCACTCCAAAGATGAGACATGAACTTAAAACTTTGCAGAGTTCTATATTTTTTTTAATTAAGTTCTCTAAAGCTAGAAAAGTGCCACTTACTTGTCCTCGCTGCACATCATCTCGTTTTAGACCACGCAAAAGAAGACCAACATTGTCACCAGCCTAGTAATTTGTACAAAAACCCACCAACATCTGAGCATATGAACAAAACCCTTAGTCCAATAAATGCAAAAAGACATTCACTTACTTGCCCGTGATCCAAAATTTTCTTGAACATCTCTACACCAGTTACAGTAGTTTTCAAAGGAGCACCCTGTCGAGGAAAGGGCCAATCATTTGTCAAAATAGTTCATTGACCAAAGAGATAACAAGGACTGTATATAAGAAGTTATACGCTAATGCCAGTAATTCAAAGCATCACAAACTCAATAGATGACTCAAAATTGCAGGGAAAATTACCAACCAAAGGGTTTTGTGAGAAGAAAACACAAAATAACTTCACAAAACTCTACTATAAACAAATGAATTACACATTTACCAACTCCACTATTAAAAGATGATTACAACATCTACCTGCGTTAGCCCCAAAACCTCAACTTCTTCACCAACTTTTATGGTTCCTTGTTCAACACGACCAGTTGTAACCGTTCCACGTCCCTTCAACACAAGAAAAAATTGTCAACGTAGGGTATGCATTCAACTCCAAAGAAAAAACCTTTCTGGAAACAACGAAAGAACTCAATGACCAATAGCAGAACAAGAAAATCCAAAAGGGCATTACAAGCCAAAATCCATCAACCAAAATTTAAATTCAAAACTTAATACTCAGAGATATTTTACCAAATAAAGTTTTTAGATAACAACATTCGTTAATTTTCAAAGGGCACCAAAAAAACATCTTCCTTTACCTGAATTGAGAAGACATCTTCAATGGGCATCAAGAAAGGCTTGTCAAGTTGGCGCACAGGGTCAGGAATGTATTCATCCACAGAATCCATTAATTTCAAAATAGCCTTTCTGCCTATTTCATCATTTGTACCCTGTAAAGCTGACAAAGCTGATCCCCTGATGATAGGTATATCATCCCCAGGAAACTTGTAGAAACTAAGAAGTTCTGCAGTAGCACAGTAAGCTTGTGTTACACCCTTCCAGTAAAATTAGGTCAACACCTAAGTAAATAATGGCCGTTTGAAAACTAAATAACCTCAAAAAGCCATTCTACCTCGGAGCTCCATTTCCACAAGCTCTAACAACTCAGGATCATCAACAGCATCGACTTTGTTCAGAAAGCACACAAGTGAGGGCACGCCAACCTGTACAGTGTGTTTCCAAAATCCAATGAACATATTCCACTCTGAATGCACAGATCAGAGCAAAAATGTAAATTCAATGTGCTTCACAAAATATTGATAGGATACCCACCTGACGTGCAAGCAGAATATGTTCCTTAGTCTGAGGCATTGGTCCATCAGGAGCAGAAACAACCAGAATACCACCATCCATTTGTGCAGCTCCAGTAATCATGTTCTGTAAATCAATAAAAATGAACAGTAAATTACACGACAATACGTGTAGTTAACTAAAAACTGTAACCTTTGCTAGAACTAGTTGACATTTATTACATGAATATGAATTTAGAAAATTAGATAAGAGAATTTGCGGTGGTAAGAAGACCTTCATGAAAAAAAAGGGTAAGTTGTCATCCATGCAAGATCAAAAAAATAATTGAAGGTTCTATTGATAACCCATAACGATAATAAGATATATAAGCAGCCAGAAATCTACACCAAAAAAAAAAAAAAAAAAAAAAAAATATAAGCACATGGAAGTTTATCAAAACAGAAACAAAATTTAGATTTTCAACGACTATGTAGAATGTAAGTTACTGTCGATAAATGGTACAGAAAAATACTAAACATCTACATAACACCTCCATCAATTTGTATTCATCCATGCATGGTTAAACAGCACAATACTCAAAAAACTAAAAATATGTTCAAAGAAGCAATTTAATTACAACTTACTTTAACATAATCTGCATGTCCTGGGCAGTCAACGTGTGCATAGTGACGCTTGGCAGTCTCATACTCTACATGAGCCTGCAAAATTGAAATCAACACTGATTTTTGGGCAGTAAAAAAAGAAAAAATACAGAAGGAAACCACATTTATCTTTCCAGTGGCATAATCAAATAATAAGCACAAAATATAGGAGAAAAAATCCCAACCGTTGCAATTGTAATTCCTCTCTTTCTCTCTTCAGGAGCCTTGTCAATTTCATCAAAGGCAACAGCTTTTGCTTTCCCTTCCTCTGCTAACACCTGCACAAAAAAATGACGTATCATAAACATGAAAAGATCGATTCATGTATACATATTTAATTATCTAAGTCATACCAAAAATAATAATAATAATAATAATAATAATAATAATAATAATAATTAAAGAAGAAATCTACAGCCGGAATCAATCAACCGAACAGCAACGAACCTTTGTAATAGCTGCAGTCAGTGTGGTTTTCCCGTGATCAACATGTCCAATTGTTCCAACATTTACGTGAGGCTTACTATCAAGATTAAACATATCACAAGTAAAGTCAGACATCCATTTCACAAGAACACTTTTAATTTCCGTTTGTCATGATTTGGTTCCTTTAGCCGAAGGATGAAACGCATCGTCAAACGAAGCAAAACCCTCTACTTTAGCAACAACGAGACTACAAAAATGGAAAGTGTAATATGCAAAGGCATGAAATGAATAGATCAGAGAAGGAACATACGTGCGGGTGAAAGTAGCCATCGATCTCCACCATGGCATAACGGCGGTGGGGGCCGAAGGTCTGTCATTCCGAGAGAGAGTGTCAGAGATTGTGACAGAGCCGCGACAACACGAGTAGATTTCAGAAGTAAACGGTACGATTCGCTTGGAGTTAGGGTTTCTAAGAGCCACCGAAGCCATTGATTTTAAAATGCAAATCTAAAACCTCACTCTTAACTCAGTGAGAGGCGGAATCTGAGTGATTTTGTGGGTTTTAGCGTTTAGGGGTTCTCTAGAGGGTTTTAGGGAAGGAGAGACACAGGGAGTGGGTGCTACTGCCCTACAGGCCCATTAGGCCCAACCCAACAGAGAAATCTCTCCCACCTTTATAAAAATGATTGTCACTAAAAATGCCACAAAATCGCAAACCAATCCTAAAGGGGTTGGTTGACGTGAATAAGGTTTGTTTTCTTTTTTGAGATTCTGAATTCAAATTATGAGATCATTTACCACAATAATATTATAACTTACTTAATCGTATGAGCTTGTAGAGTATTCAATAGACCACAAGGATTAGTTGAGGTGACGTAAGCTAGCCCGAAACCCTGGTTACCAAAAACAAAAAAAAGTCACAAACCCAAATTAAGCTTCCTTAGGGTTAGGGACAAATATTCTTCAAAATTGAAAGATACAACCAACTCTAAACAATCATTCGCCAAACAATAAGAAAATCAATTCCCATTAATTAGCAATGAAAGTAGTTAGCAGAGATTGGCGTAAACGAAACGTTAACTTATAAAATCAAAATGAACCTTTTTATGGTATGTGGAAAGAACCTCCATTCCTAAACATCATTTTATTTTCATGGTGAAGTTATTGCATGGCCATTCAAAAATGAGGTGTAAACATCAATGCAGATGAGGTGAATAGGCGAAGTCATTTTCAAATTTGTTGCTCCTCTGAAAATTTCAAAGAGATTGGTACAACGTAGACTGTTTCTGTCACTACTTATAGCAACTGTACAACACAACGTACATATATATTCTCTTCTCATTTAAGGTTTTTCTTGATTTTCTTCTCTTCGGTTCAGTGGCTATATATGAAAATGCCCAGGCCATCTTTAAATTGAACAATAGTCCAAGCCTTAAACGCTTTCTCCTAAGCTTTCTAAGCTTTTTGTTTCTTCCACCTTTCTCCTTGTATACTAGTCTTTCGTTTTAAGCAGCGTACTGCATATAAACACCTGTTATTCTTGAAAAATTTTGCATCCCTTTGTTTCAGCTTGAAAGATACCCATCTCTTTACCTAACTCAAAGCTTGACATAAATCTGGATTTCCACCCGCTTTATTCTAATTGATTATATTTTGTTTCAGGCTCTAACTCAACTTCCATGGCTGTAAAAATCTCTATTATTCAAATACTAGCTCTGTTTTTTCCACATTTGGTTTTTGTTAGCTCATTGAATTTCAGTTATCCTGCCGTTTTCAACTTTGGTGATTCAAATTCAGACACTGGTGGCCTCGTTGCGGGAATTGCTTTTCCACTGGGATTACCTATGGGACAAACCTACTTCCATGAATCATCTGGGCGATTCTGCGATGGTCGTTTGATCATTGATTTTCTAAGTAATTTGTCTTTACATTTAATTATTGCTTGTTTATCATGGTGATATTTCATTTGGTTAATTGATGAATGCAATTTGGATTAGGAATTTTTTATTGTCTTATAAACGGTTGACTATTTGGTTGAATGTATAGTATACTCTGTAATTTACTTACACTTCAATTTCCTGCAGTGAATGCGATGGGCCAACCATTTCTCAGTCCATACTTGGATTCTATCGGAGCCCCTGATTTCCGAACTGGGTGTAATTTTGCAGCAGGAGGGGCAACTATACTCCCACCCACTCCATATTCATTATGCCCTTTTTCCTTTAATTTGCAGGTAGCTCAATTTATCAGATTCAAGACTCGAGTTTTTGAATTATTAGCAGAAGGTATTAGCGATTTTATTGAAAAAGTCCGGGTTTCAGTAAAAGTTTTATGTTAGTGAAATTTCTGAGTTGTAATGTGGGATTTGTTTTAGATAAAAATCTACAAAAGTATCTTTTTCCAGAAGATTATTTCAAGGACGGCCTTTACATGTTTGATATGGGTCAGAATGATCTTGAAGGAGAATTCTACTATAGATCCGAGGACCAAGTACTGGCTTTCATTCCAAGCTTATTGTCGCAGATTGAGAAAGGAATTCAGGTTGAATCATTTTCTTTTAAATCATATTTAAACTAGAGATTAATACTAAATTAAAAGCTTGCTCCTTACCTTCCAGAAATTGTACACTGAGGGAGCAAGGAACTTCTGGGTTCATAACACTGGTCCCCTTGGATGTTTACCCAGACTCATTACAACATTTGGTAAAAATTCATCAGAGCTTGACCAGCTTGGGTGCGTTAAATCGCTCAATAATGCCGCTGCCCTTTTCAATTTGCAACTGCGTGATTTCTGTACCAAGTTTCAGGAACAATTTTCTGAAGTTAATGTTACCTTTGTTGACATTTTCTCGATAAAGTTAGACCTTATTTCAAATTATTCCGAGTACGGTAAGTTGTCGTCTTGTCCTGTAATGAGTCTTAAAAAAAAAAAAAAGGTGCTTTTTTCCATTGACTTATTTTTGTTAATGACTTGCAGGATTCAAGGAGCCTTTGGCTGCTTGCTGCGGGATTGGTGGGCCGCCATTGAATTTTGATCCTCGGATAAATTGTGGGCAAACTAAGAATCTGGATGGGAGCATAGTGACAGCAAAACCTTGCAGCAACTCTAGTGAATATGTAAATTGGGATGGAACTCATTATACAGAAGCTGCAAATCGACATGTTTTTGAACAAATACTAAAGGGAAATTACTCTTACCCTCTCATGTCAATGAATGAGCCATTGGAAATTCCTGTTACCATCCCACCTCAGTGAATACATTAGATCCCGAACAAGCTGAGGAGCTGGAGTGGATTGTATTGGCAGTAATTTATTTATAGTAGTTATATTTATGCAAAAATGTTGAATTTAATTATGGTTTAATCTTGTACCATAACATTTCTTTTTCTTCTCACAACTCGAGCATATTAATTTCAAAAGGAGTAAACGACATATTCCCACCCGAGGTTTGGCAAAATTCTAAGCGGATACCCCTTGGTTCCATTTATTCCAAATCCCAACCCTTAAATGAACGTTGTTACTTGTTAGTGACGGTTTGGTTCTGATACAGGCTATTACAAAACTACCCTTCACCCCATTCCAAACCATAGTCGGTTCTAAGCCACCCCATCCCAAACCGCCACCACAACCGGCCAAACCACCCCCATTCCAAACTACCACCACAGTCGGCCCACCTTATAATCAATCAACGAAATCAAATTCACTCCAAAACACAGGTGGTGGGCGACGACAGTGGCAAGAAAAATCAACGGTAGCGGGGAAAACAACCAGAAAAAACCCATAACCAATCAACAAATTAAATTCACTCCAAAACGCAACAAAAAAGCAGCAAATCAAACTCAAAACAAAGGCTCAAAATCAACCCAAAATAAGCTGTCGCATGAAGAGATGGGGAAGTGATGGACAGTGACCGGCGATCAAACAACTATCGGGGATGGAAGGGGTTTCAAGAGAGGCGGTCGGTGAGGTGAATGGTGGTGACGGGAGAGATTTCTATTGCCGAAATGGATGGGAAAATGGAAAAATCACGCAAACCCTAAATTTGTGGTGACTTGCGATTGAGAGGTTCTTTTATATGGGGGTGAGAGGGGTTTTGGTGTGTTCGTTAAGGGGAAGTGATTGGTGGTGATGGGGTTGTCTGGCGGCCAGAATCAGACGGTTGGGCGCTGCACTCACGAGAAAGGCAAAATCGCGCTGTGAAGAAGAAAAAAATGGAGAAATGCAAGAGGGAGATGGATAGTCACAGTTAGTTAGATCTGGGCTTCATTACAGGAAAGGACCGGAAAATGGTCGGTGACGACGCTGCAAAGATGAGAGAAAGTGGAAGATGAAAGGTGAAGGTGGGAGGTTGAATTTGGGGTTTTTTAGGGTTATTTTGTCCTTTTAATTTTATATAGAGTAAATACTATTTTAGCATTTCACTGTTAAAATAAGAAAACAGAGTTACTTTAAAGGTGAAAATCTGAAATAAATGAAACAAAAGGTAAACGCCCAAAAAAGGTTCAAAATCTTCTTCAATCCGGATTCTCATTTACCAAATATACATCTCTTAAAAAACCAAACCAAACATCCATTAAAAAAGAAATAATCCCAAATTACACATTTTCTTTCTCTTTCAAAGACAGCCACCTTTTTCCAATCGTTTTTCACAAAAAAGATCTGGTCCATTTCAACCACCTAATGAATGGGAAATGTACCTACAAATTTCTGTTTCCTATCACAGATGCTCAAGTAAATTAGGATGTTAAATAGGAGTTTTTGTCACTTAAATCAATTGTTTAAGATAAGACATATCACGCGCTCTGCGCATCTTGAAACCACGCAAAGCTGCTTACCTCTCTCTCACTCCCTCGTCTCACCCTGTCTCTTACACTTCGCATCCGATTCTCTCTCTCTCTTCTCTCGCGAACTAACGAACATCAATCAAATTTTTCCTAAAATCTGCGAATTTTTTCCCCTGTATTAGTTACTTTTATAAGTTTCTAGACGGTGTGTCCTCTCGTGCAATGTCGGTTCTTGAAGATATGCAAATGAAGTTTGTTTCTGATAATAAACTAAGATTAGGGTTTTATAGAGGCGGTGAAGATGATTCCGTGGGGTGGGATAAGTTGCTGCTGAGTGGAGCTGCACTTTATCTGCTCGGAGGAGCAGTGGCGGTTTCTCCTTTTTTCTACTTTATTTGATACCGAATTTAGGGCTGTATAAATTATTATTAATTTTTGTTTTTTTTTACGGTGGTGAAGGGACGCGGAGGTTCTTAAGACGGTTACGCGAGTCGATCAGCTCAAGGAGTTGGGTATGTGGTTTGTAAATTTGTAATTCTTGTTCTGGTTTTATTTGCTTGAAATGTTGGCCTGCTTCGTTTGTTGGTTATAGTGAATCCACAAATTAGCGATGCGAATCTCGTTAACTACCTTGACCACTTCTACTTCCCTCTGCTTTACTTTTAATCTTGTATAGTTTTTTGCTTTTCTTTCTTTTTATTGATGTGCATGTTAAGATGGATTATATTAGTCATCCTCAATAATGAGTAATAATTATGCTAATGTGTTACACTGAGAAGAAATGGTGTCCATGACTGAATTGTGTATGAAATGAATTTTAGTCTGGTGATATATTAATATTCCCTTTGTATCCCACTTTCTGTAACTAGTTATTTTGGCTCTAATGAATTATCAGATTCTGATGAACTTCTGACATGTTTCTTGGGATAGTGATGCACTTGAAGCATATTAATTTTGTCTGCTTGGCTCAAGGGTTAGTGATTGGATTTTGGGAAATGGATTGGGACACATGTATGTAATGTTGTTGTCATTCATGTTCTAAGCTTAATGCTGAAGACACAGGTCCTTGTATCATGTTGGATGCTGATCTAGTTGTGAATGGCAAAGTTGTGAAATAAATATCTTTCTCAAACAATGATTTGCTATCTGCTTTGACCTTTCAGCCCAATTACTTGACATTGAAAGTAAAGTTTTGCCACTCATTGTTACGGTTTGCGGAAGGGTTGGCTCTGAGACACCTATTAGCTGCGAGTATAGCGGGTTGAGAGGTGTCATATTGGAGGAAACGGTGATGTTGGGCTTTAATTTTCTTAAAAAATAGCATAATTTACACATGTTGATGAGTTTCCAATTGATTTTTGTGTAAAATCTTTGTTGATTTGTTTTTTAGGCTGAACAAACATTCTGAAACACAATGATGCTGGGTTTGGATACAAGATTCTGCATTGATGCTATCAATGAGTAAAGAGGTTCCTTGGTACCTAGTGAGACTCTCTCTCTCTTTCTCACGCTCTGCTCTAGGAAAGATTATGCTCTTGTGTATACCTTTAGTGAAATGGCTAATAAAAAACCTAACATGAAGGCTTAAAATTATTGAGATATCGTATTAAATTGCATTGCTGATTTAGGGTACGTTGATGGTTTTTTGTGCCCTCTCAGGAGGACGGGACTGGTGTGTATTTGTAGTGGGAGCCCGAAGTGCCACAGGTTGTATTAACTGTTGGAAGTGAAGTGTTTGAAGAATCTGGACGATCACTTGTAGTGGAACATTAGACTATTCCAAGGCCTCAAGGTTTTCCTGTTCTGCATTTTTTTCATTTACACACAAAACCTCCACTGCTGATTCAGGATTATTTGATGTGTAATACATGATTTTAGATGCTTGGAGTCAAGCGTATTGAACGGCTACTTCCAACGGTACCCTTGACTGTGGTTGGAGAGGTATGGCTTAGCATAGTGATCGAAATTATATTTATTTTTCTTGCTTTTTAGATACAGCGCATACCACTATGAAAGACTGGGGTTATTAGACAATAGAAATTAATAATTGGGCTATTAGGCAAAAACGAGTGATGAATAATATTTTTCTAGCTGAATACTGGTGGATGAATGGTTGCTCCAAAGTAAGCCTGATGTTTTTAAAATGCTTTGCAATATATATTCAGGCAGTGAAAGACGATATTGGAACAGTTCGTATACAACGACCACACAAAGGCCCTTTCTATGTCTCCCAAAACTATTGATGAGCTATGCAAACCTTGGGAAATGGGCAAGGTTGTTTATTGCACTTGCAAAGAATTGTTCTCCTCCTTTATTTTTTTATTTATTTTTTTTTTAATTTCTTTATAAATTTATGTTGTTGAATCATGAGAGAAGAAAAGGAATTTAATGAAGGTTTATTTACAGGTGGTATAAGTATGCATCTGCAGGTTTGACAGTGTTTGGCGTTTTCCTGATCGCTAAGCGTTTATCCAATATATCTTGGAAAGAAAGCGCCCGCGGAATTTCAGAGAAGGTATGTGTGGTTGATTCATCATTTGCGTATGGAGACTGTATACAACAAGAATGACTTATATGCATTCTTGAATATGTGCACTGTTGTTCTCTCTACTGATTACAAGCTGTGTCTTTGCTCAGACAGGTTGGCTGGTTCTTCTGCTGACTATTTATGTATTGTAATTCATTAGGTGATTGTTTGTGCAATTTTATGCTCTCCTAAGCTGGTAGGGATTAGAATAGTCTTCTTGAATTTTGTGGTGCATTTGTGTATTAGCCATGTCCAATAGTTTCAGGACGTGGATGTATCCATATAGTGGATTGGGTCTTTTTCTTTTCTGTTTTTAATTACTTCATACGTGAGCCATCATTGGAAGTCAGGTAACTATTGTAGATTTGCAAAAAGATTTGAGAAATTCTTCTTATCAGCGTATAATGGCAATGGGTAGGGTGATGTAGCCACCGTAGTATGGTCAGGTCTAAGCCTTCAAATTCTAGTTGGTCAGAGACAGGTTGATGTTTGGATATATTGTATAAGTTGATTTCATTTCAAATATATATATATAATATTGACAGTCATATACAGTTGTAAAATGCTTGTCAGATAGATGGAATAAATATTTAAAACTTAGTCAGCTAGTATTGGATGGGACTATTAGCTTGGCAAAATATCGGTTTGATACCATCACTATCTTTGTGCAAAAATAATCTGTATGATTTCTACAATTCTCAGGCAGTCAATTACGTAGTCCTTCAAACTGATGTGAAATTCTACTTCCTTTTATCTATTCAAGAATCTAACATTATGTTATAGTGAATTACTCTCTTCTCTGCTCTTACTCTCATGACAAACTGAGTTGTAAAACCTTGCCCAGCAGGGTTCTTGCTGCTGCAACTAAGAGATCAGGGAAAGACAGTGAAGGTAAATTGCTGGTTTTCTACGTAATGTTTGTTTTTGAAAATTTGTTTGGATGATTCAGTCCTAATGTTCGATTGTTTTTCAGCTTCAAAGGAACACTGAGAATGGATCAGATGGTACTAAGAGAGACCGTGTGATGCCACGATATAGTGTGATATGCCTTGAGCAGAGTACAATGCGTTTTTGTCCCGTAAGTTACATAGTATGTTTTGTGTATTTATATATAGACTGCTGAATTGCCTATTTGTTTGGGTTACAATGCCATGTTGCAAAATTCTAAACTATTTTCTGAAGACTAAGAATTGGAGTATATGGCCCATTTCCTAATATAAATGCACTTTGGCAATAAATGATAGATGCCATTAACATTTTCTTCCCAAGGGGTATATATCATAGTAGTTTTATCTCTTTCGTATTGGCGTAAGCCAGATGAATTTTAGTTTTGATCACAAACGAAAATTGATCATCTTGTCACAATAAACATTTCTTTTATCCTTGAATACCTTAATATCACAGATTCGATTAGCAGAGCTTGTATTTCTTCGTTTGTCCTACCCTTATCTTCTCATTTGATTGCATTAGTAGCAAAGGACTTACTTTGTGGAACAAGTCTCCTTTCCTTGACAGTTTGAGTACTTGTGGCCTTTGAATTGAATGAGTTCCCTACCCTTTATGATCTACAGGTGTGGTCATATGTGTTGTTGTACAGCATGCTCCTCACACTTGACCAGCTGTCCTCTATGCCGGAGACGAATTGAACAGGTGGTGAAGACATTCCGCCATTGAAGTTACGGCTCTATGACCTATAGCAACTGTAGTAGATGAAAAATACTTATATGATCAGAATCTTGTTTCTTTTTACCAATTTAAGATTCTGGAGGTGTAAAATTCTCTTCATAATGCCAATCGGTTGAAATAATTTATGTAAATTCCTCATTATTCATTCCTATGTAAATATTTAGAGATTTTTACTTCCCTCTTGAAAAATGATATCCCAACCAAACATGATTGTTTTAATTAGTTTACAAAAGATCCCAGTGATATATGCTGGTGCTATTATTTTATATTGTGCTGTTTTGCATTATATGGTATACTATATGATATAATGGAAATCCATGTCATTACATATAAGCAATCAGAAATGTGCGAGTCTCGTGGGATTATAAAAACTGCCTCTGGCTTGGCTTTGCTTCCAATGGAATTATAATTTAGGTAACCGTACCTTGGCGAGGCGAGGGCCGAGGATTACATTGAGAGCTTGTTCCTCAAAACAATGAAAATCCTGATTATAAGGTGTAGGAGCGTAAAGCATGTCTAGCCTATACTTTATTCTTTTTCTGTTACAAAATTTCCATCTTCTGAATATTCTTATTATAATTGATCTCTCTAGATAACAAAGAAGATGGAAGAATATCCTTTGGTGAGATATAAGTTGGCAGTTTTATTATTATATTCACAAAATAATCGGACGGGTAAACGACTTTTTCCCACTGAAGGTTTGCCTTAATTATACTTTTTCACCCAAAAAGTTTCAAAATACCATTTTCTCACTCAAAATTTATATTTCATTAATACCTAAACCCGATTCTGGTGGCGAAAATTCTCTCTGTCACCCATTTGAATCTCCGGTCTCTTCTCTACAAAACCCCTCTCACTTCGGTACTTGATTTCTCATCAATTGTCGGTTACCGTAAAGCTAAGGTTTCTTATTCTTAATTGATTTTTGACTAATTCCGATGACGAATATTCAATCAATCACCACCATTCGAACCACCAGCCTCCGCTTTACAAAAATCCTCCTACCCTGGATCTTGATGACTCATCAAACGCCGACTGAGAAAGTGAAATATATTTTGGATATTAACATAATATAAATTTTGGGTGACAAAATGGTATTTTGAAACTTTTTGGGTGGGGAAAAGTGTTTTACTCGTGGACATATAGACACTGCGCAATTATATTAATGTACACAGTAGGAGAATCTAGCAACGAGTTGTATTGAATTGAAAAGACATCCGCAGTAGCCGAGAAACAATAATATAAAAATGAAGAGGATAGGAAATGCGAAACTTAAAACACATAGTAAAGTCGATATTCCAGTTTCGCGTCTAAAGTCTGAATTCAGAGGTGTTAAAGTTGCAGTTGCTTCATGATTGTCAAATCTGGGTGACTAGGAAGCATATTTGCTGATTTATTTCTCTACTCGGTCTAGCTCATCAACTTCTACAAAGAAATTTCACAGATGGATGGAGAATCTGCCTCCACACTCCAAATCCCATGCTACAAGAAAACTCAAAAACTTTCTTTGGAGCTCAAATCTTGTCCGGTTGATTGAATTTGGTAAAGAAGTAGTTACAGTACCAAGGCATCTGATGCCTTTTGAACGTTCAGTGAAGTCGTCTTAACGTTGCTAATAATATCTTTACGCTCTGTCAACAGCTATAGACTCTATTATATCTCTTAATCAGTCGTGCTCTATAAGCTGTATTTTGTTTGATTCAAGGTGATAGTTTATAGAAAAACAACACAAGGAATATGATCCCAAGCCATCCCTTCCTTTTTGAAAATCTGGGAAAGTTGCCCCATTTACTGTTTAAATATCAGTGTCTGGGAATCTTAGCCCGAGTTTCTCCATTGAATTCTTCTGCGAAATTTAATTTAGATTACCCTGGAAGGATTCACATCAATAGGTTGTTTAATATTTATATATTTTATCTTTACACTTATTGGTGCAATTGCGAGTATAAATACCAATTTCGTCAGCCTCACATTTTGCAATTTGGTTTTGTATTAGTTCTTTCATAAACATTTATATATCTCCAATATCTCTTCAACTTTCATTCACATCAATGGAAAAGAAAAACAACAGCACCTGTGAGAAAATCTTCAAAGCCATTAATATCAGCCCTTCCTTCCGAACAATTCGTCGCATCTCACACAACCCTCAACATCCAATGCCTTCACCCAACCCTTCCAAGCCAGTAAAACCCCTCAATACACCAAAAAACAGAGATGGTGCAGAAGTTGTTTCCATCAAGTATGATAATTCAAGTCTTCCTGCTCATCCGAATGAGAAACTCAAGTCAAAAACACCACCTGCACCAAAAAAAGAAGCTCCATCTCTAATGATTCCAGTTCAAAAGAAGCCTAACACACTTGTGCCATTATCATCTCAGCATGGTGAAGGACGCAAGACTGGTGCCAAAGATGACAGAGTGAAAAGTAACAAATGGGGAGAAAATGCTGAAGATAAATTTAGTAATTTCATTTATCATGCGAAGAAGAAGATTACAGCTACTAATTCACATGTTGGTGAACGAAAGAATACTTCACATGTTGGTGAACAAAAGAATGACGATCATTTCTCGAATTATATCGATCGTGTTAAGCATAAGATAAGAAAGATGTCAAGCTTCGTTGGTGGAAGCAGTGGCTCCGTGAAGTAAAGAACCGGGCTACAAATCCTTCAGGAGTGGCTCTGCTCAAAAGGGTTTGCTGGATAAAGTTTATTGCCAGTAATTCATCTTCTTGGTTCCGTATGCGTGAAGAAACTTAAGAGATGCCTGTTTGTGGAGTGTTTTAGTTTCATAAATAATTCTTTCAGTATGTTATTCATCGTTTTATTACTCAGTACTTTGATCTTGTAAGGTTTTATTATCTCATTTGATTGTTGGGATTGATCATAATATCATGTCATAAAGTAAAATTATAATATTTTGTTTACGTATTTCTTTCCAGCGTCGCGTTTTCTTCACAACGCAAGTGTTAAAAATCCATGGCTTTAACTAATGCAGTTAATGAATTTTCAGAACAAGAAATTAACAACTGATTTGACGGTAGTGATTAAAATAAAACTAGGCCTTAATCACTCTGCATTTGTTTCCATTTGAAATGAAGTTTGGAATTTCAGTGCAAGAACGCCTCCTATCCAGGACCGCTATATTTTCGCCGTTCAAAGAATCGGTATATTTTTTACAAGTAAAGGAATGTAGTTGTAAAACCATGAAATAAATCAGCGAGAAGGAACAGAAACGTAAATCTTTTTACCAACATCAGTGAAGTGTATTCAGTATCACTGGTCTTCGATGTTTCTGTAGCTCAGCCTCAGCCTGGGGCGTTAATGGGTTTATAAAGAAGAGTGAAGCTTTTGTGGGATATCCATGTTTAGTGTAGAGATATTCTTTGGTGAGAAATAATGTAGCGTTTTTAATGTTGATAAAATAATAAATTCTGGGGAACAGCCTGAAAAGATGGAGAGAAGAGCAGTGCGCAATCGTGTTTATGTATAGAGTAGGAGAATCTAACAAGATGCTGTTTAAATTGAAAAGACACCCGCATTAGCCCAAAACAAATAAAATGATAAAAAGGAAATGTGAAACCAAACACATAAGAAATTCGATATTCCAGTTCAGACGTGTTAAAGTTGGTGGACGGTGAGTCCATTAACAAACGAATCGGGGCTACAAATCATTCAGCAGTGGCTCTACTCATCTTATGGTTGCCGTACGCGTAAAGAACCTTAAGAGAAACATGTTTGTGGAGTGTTTAAATTCATAAAAATATTTCTTGGCATCAAATATTTTTAATGTATACTCTGTTCTAAGTAGGTTAATTCATCATTTCATTATTAATACCAAATTGGGGTTTTATCAATTGTGTAGTGACAAATTTCATATTTTTCATTATTTTTCAAAATAATATCTAGACTTACCGACCTAACTACTGACTTTAACATACCTCATGTGAATTGAGTCGAATTTTGAGATTTGGGTAGTTGGTTAGGTATGTCAAAGTCGGTAGTTGGATCGGTAAGTTTAGCATTACTGTTTTAGAAAACCATGAACACGTTTTCATTTTTCGGTTTTAATATTTCATGTTTTCAATTATTCTTTTTTGACAACATGTCAAACACGTTTTATTTTTCGCATTTTCTAATCATTTTCAATATTTTAAAAATAAAAATGAATACACAAAATTCATAAATCACTTTGACGTTTTGTTCTATTTGGAATTTCAGTACAAGAACACCACCATATCCGTTCATAAAATTGGTATAATAATTTTTCAAGTAAAAGGGAATGTAGTAAACCATGATCAGCAAAAAGGAAAAAAAAAATTGAAGAACTTTATTTAAGATGAATTGATTCGTGGGAGTGATTAATTAATTTTTGGATGAAGAACTGGTTGAATCGAACCCAATTATTGTATATTTTTTGACAGCCCAGACCATCGAATGTGAACCAGCATGAAACTGGCTGACAGCCTGACCAGACCGACCCAGTCTAATCTCTAATCTATCCTCAGCCCAAACTATTTTGTGCATATTTTTGTAAATTCATCTCATCAAATCGATTACGCATACTCCATAGCAATCTTTATTGCTCTGATATTCACATGACTGCAAGCAATGTGACGGTAGCATTAAATTCTCCCATGAGATATTAGCAATTACAGGGTGTGTATTGTCTGTATGGTTGTATCCACGCCATTAACTCTGTGTCTCATCTCCATTGTGCCGAAATTGGTTGGATGGTTTTGTTACATTTTTAACTTAAATGGTACTGATTTCTAAGTCCATATTGTTTTATCAACTAGCTGTTCCTCTAAGTTTTGTCTTTGGATTATTATTTGTGTTTGTTGTCTCGGTGGAATGACCTCATTGATTCCACTTCACACAGGAATTAACAAAATGCACCAATGTACTAACTTTACCTATCATACTTTATGCACCAATCACGAAACAGAATTGGCCCCATATTACTATAATTTATTCAAGCTATTATATACCTCATTAATATGTATTGTATATACATATTGCTACATACATCAGTCTAACACAAGAAATTTTGTTTGTACATTTATAGGAACAATAAAAAATGAATGATTAGAAAGATAAAATATAGCTGTCTTTTCACCTTTATAATTAGACGGGAAATTAGAATGTTAGTTCCATTGAGGGATTAAAAAATGACCACTCTTAGGTAGTTCAAATGATAAGACGAACTTTGAGATGTGTGGTTAAATAATAGCTTATTAAATCCCTTTCTCTTAAGATTTAAAAACAAAATATAAGAATAGAACAAATTGAGACCTAAATTACACCAAATTTGTTTGTTGGAAGCGTATTTGAGTGTTGATATAGAATACTACGGTGAATACATTCCAAAAGCCAATTCTGGGTGTAAATGTATGGATCATCATATTGAATAGTGAATGAGCTTTGGGTAGATGGTAGGGGGTTTGACCCTAAACAAAAACATAGCCCAATAAGAGAATTGAAATAAATGGATGGTGTGAGATTAAGGTCCTTTGGGAGTTATCAAAGATCGCAGCCTTATACATATTTTATCAAACACTGTTCACAATTTGGCTAATTATAATGCGCCTTCTGGTGCTTGCATGCACGATGTGTCATTGTCTTGATAATTGGTTTCCGATCTTGAAGTTAATAGGTTGAAGTGAGAAGCATATAAAAGCACCGGCATGACATTATTATCTATTTTGTTTTAACACAGGTCAACCGCCTCTCTCTCTTAATCATAGTCCATAAGCACCCCGGCCCAGCTGATGCATGCTGCCTCTTCTTCAAACAAAACATTTATTAATTCTAATTATACAATTAAACTAAAGGAACAACGTTGTCATTTGATATCAACATAACAGACTTTTTGGGTTCCTATAAACAAACAGATATTTTAATTAAGGTCAATTAAAAGTGCATCCGCATGCACGCCTCTATTGGCTGATGAAATAAATATCTAACCGGGGAGCCAAAAATTGATTCAACTCAATCTCAGTCTTCAACATTTTTGACTTCATCTATGCATGCCAACCAACCTCATTAAAATCTCTGGGGGCAGTACACATTTGCCTTGCCTCAATTCTCAAGTCTCACATGTTGACATGAGAGATGGCTTTCTTCTTTTTTCACTTGATCATTGCTTCACACACACACATATATATTTTAATTAATCAACCAGTTCACGAACTCTGTAGAAAATTATTTTGGTTCAACATCCGTGAATTACTTGATAGCGCTAGATTCGTTGACCATGTGACATCCTCGAAACCAGTCATATTATTTTTTTTAACAAAGAAAATATGAATGAAATTAAAGACGAGAGAAATTTATACTTTTAAAGTGTACTAATTTAATTGATGGGGGAAGGTTTATTTGGTTAATGTGAGTGGTGGATGGTAATTGGTTGACATTATGAAAAGCAAAAGTGGACATATTTTTAAGTTGACATGACATACGTACCTTTCTATCAATCAAAACAAAACAACCTAACTTACACGCTATGTTAATACAATGTAAATAAACGCTAAAATCCACCAATCAATTTACAATTCCAGTTAACCGTTTGCATCACCCTATCTACTCTTTATAATCTTTTATTTGAATGAAATCACAAAAGTATTGTATACTATATTGGTCACTCACTTCCTTGGATGTTCATTGCCCAAATAGGCAAACAAACATTTAATAATATATAATCTACCAAAAATATACAAATAAAATCCTCCATTTCAAGATCTGCTTTTGCATTTGATTCTATTAGTATATATATCACATCATTATAATCTAATAATTTCAAATTAAATATAACTTCTAATTATCATTCGTAGCCCAATCAAGAACTCTTTGCTTCTTAGCAAAATGTAGATACGCTTCACTTTCAAATGCAAAATAATTAGGTCTAGGATTATATAAATGAGAGAAGGAATCGTGTTCCTTACCTAGCTTTCCACTTTTTAACATTAGAACGGTGGTGATGAACCCACCTGGCATGTTTTCTCTTTTCAGTACAAGAACACCACCATATCCGTTCATAAAATTGGTATAATAATTTTTCAAGTAAAAGGGAATGTAGTAAAACCATGATCAGCAAAAAGGAAAAAAATAAATAAAAAATTGAAGAACTTTATTTAAGATGAATTGATTCGTGGGAGTGATTAATTAATTTTTGGATGAAGAACTGGTTGAATCGAACCCAATTATTGTATATTTTTTGACAGCCCAGACCATCGAATGTGAACCAGCATGAAACTGGGCTGACCTGACCCAGCCTAATCTAATCTATCCTCAGCCCAAAGCTATTTTGTGCATATTTTTGTAAATTCATCTCATCAAATCGATTACGCACTACTCCATAGAAATCTTTATTGCTCTGATATTCACATGACTGCAATGCAAATGTGACGGTAGCATTAAATTCTCCCATGAGATACTAGCAATTACAGGGTGTATTGTTTGTATGGTTGTATCCAACGCCATTAACATATCTGTGTCTCATCTCCACTGTTTCCGAAATTGGTTGGATGGTTTTACTTTTAAATGGCATTGATTTCTAAGTCCATATTGTTTTTATCAACTAGCTGTTCCTCTAAGTTTTGTCTTTGGATTATTTATTTGTGTTTGTTGTCTGACCTCATTGATGT